GTTTAGGGTTTAGGGTTTAGGGGTTTAGGGTTTAGGGTTTAGGGTTTAGGGTGTCGATTGCTAGTGTTTTGGTGCCTCTCTTCTCGGGGTGCCTATCGATACTTTTTTAACGGCACCCCTCCTCTCAAATTGGCACCAAAACACGCGAGGCTAGCCTAGGGCACCCACCCCAGAGCCGCCCAGACCTAAAGCTTTTAGGGTTTAGGGTTATCAACCCCCCTACCCCCCACTCTTGGGGGGTTTTGGAAAACAAGTGAACACAAGAAGAGGCATGTTGGATGTGAACAGAAACGTATATGAACAAAGTCCACCCGCCAGTGGGGGCGAAGGCTTCCAGTCAGCAGCGTGCTGCCAAAGTTGATCAATACGTGACCAGAGTGGAACCAAGACCCACCAAAGGATGCGTGACCCAGAGACTGTGAGAGTCTACCCGTCAGTGGGGGTGAAAGCTTCCAGTCACCAGCCTGCTGCCAAAGTTGATCAATACTTGACCAAGGTCGAACCAAAAGACCCACCAAAGGATGCGTGACCTCATAAGCACGAGGTGTGGAAATCGTCAAAACTTGGAGTGTCCAAGGGCTGGTGCCTGGCAAACCTGAAGTTTGCAAGCTAGGAGACCTAGTTTTTGGAAGCCGCTTATAGACGAAAAACGTGTGAAAAATAGAAAACCTTTTTGGGGCCCTCCGGGGCCCCGATGGAAACGCTCTCCGAGTAAACAAAATGCTGCCCGTTTTTTTTGGCAGCAATTTTTGGGAGCCTACGACGACGACGACGACCCCGGGCAGCGCACTAACCCGCCAAAGCCGGGTCCCAAGCCCCGGGACCCCGTCGACCAGGCGACGGGGGAAGAGGGAGGGGCGCGCTGCCGACCGGCCCGGGGCGCCAGACGAAGAGGAAGAGAAGCGCTGCAAGGTCGATTGAGGAAAATCGACACACCCAAAAACCCCCTCGACAGGTATGGGAAGGGGGAAACTCTCGCGAATTTTTTTCGGGGACTCTTTCGACGCGGCCGGCGCCGTCGCGAAGCGCCGGGCGTCGCGAAGGGACGTTTGCGTTCGAACGGGGTGTTTCGCAAGATTTGGGCTTGCAACGGGTGTGCGTTTTGAAGGCCGGTTTTTTTCTTCTAGGCGTTTCGCGCTCGCGGTTTCTATGGCGAAAACGCCGTAACTCGAATACAGCGACGCGTCCAAAAATTTGGGGCCTATTTTTTTGCATGGTGAAGGATTTCGTAGGCAGGGCGTCGGGTCGGACGAAATCGGCGCGGTCGGCGCTCGATAGGGCTCGGCCCGTCGAATTCGATCTTGCGAACGGCCGGCGGGAGTTGAGAAGAACGATATCGAAACCAGACATTTTCGAGCCCGCAGGGGCGTTGGACGATTTCTGCCTTGCAACGGGTCTACGTTTTCAACGTCGGTTTTCGACTTCGTGCCGCTCTGGCTTGGGCCCTATAGGCGGCGATAAAACGACGCGATTGTGCGTCGAAAACGGGTCGTGGCAAGATTTGGCCCCGGAAGCTTTTTGCAAGCGGGGCGCTTCACTTTGGAAACTTTCCTGTTTCCCGGCGCGAGCGGTCCGGCGCGCCGGTTTCGCCCCAGAAAACGGTGCAGGAACAGGAGGTTTTGGAGCCTGGCGGTGGGCGACGGGCCATAGGAGACCGAAACATAACATCGTCCAGGATGGGGCGCAAAACAAGGGTAGGGCGCAGCAAGCGCGCCCAGACGCCGGAAGGCAAAGACGACGAAGGAGACACGATCTGGCCAATCGAGGGGGGGGGAGGGCGGCGCAACAATTCGAAGTTCGACCTCGGAACGTCTAACGTCTGAAGCGAAGACGTCTGCAAGGTCCCACGCTTCGAGGCGCAGCGGTGACATCCCTGTCCGACGGGGGTCTGCCTCATCGTGGCGGACAGGTCCAGTACCCACGTCGCAGAGGCGACGTGGGGAAGCCAAAAGACCCCCAACCGACGCCTGCGGGCGAAAAACGTGCAGCGGTGTTCGCTGGTCTGCGTAACCCGAGCTTGAAACAAAGACTCGATGCAGAGCACGTTCCGGCCCGCGATAATATGTACCCACTGTTGACGTTTTCAGCGGTGAAGCCGAGTCAGACAGATACAAACGGTTGACACACACACACACACACACACATATATATATATATATGGACACGTACAGACACACAGGCGTGGACTCTTTTTGTTTTTGGTTTTGGGATGAAGGTCAAGCAGGGTAAGACAAACGCAGACTGTTGCTTTCCGGGTGCCGAACTACTACCGCTGCTTTGCGATGGCGGGTTCCTCCACGGACCGGCTAGCGCGAAGCTCAGGGATTGTTGTGGCTAGGTCTTCTGTCGTGTGCCTTCCAAGTTGGGCGCACGAGCGTGTTCGAAACGTTGTCTGGCCAGGTCGGCGGCGCCAAGTATTGCCGCGGCTTTGGACAGCAGGTTTGCCTGTTCGGTGAAGGAGGGCGCCGAGCACGGCCGCATGGGCCAGCTCAGTGCCTGTTCTGCGACGTAAACAAGCTCAACGATGCACTGCTGGATGCGCAGGGCAGCGTCACCGTGAAGAAGCGGTTCGCCTGCTTGACGGACGACGCCAAGCTCGTGGCACTGGATCGAGTGCAGGACGCAGGGTTCAGACGGTGGCTGCAAGGGTCTTGCAAGCGAAAGATCGAGGAAGCAGAGCCAACGACGCCCAGAGCAAAAAATGTCGCTGCCAAGCCGCACGGTTTGGCGCAGGCTGCAGCCCCCTATGCTCCGGAGCTTTTGGAGGAAATCTACGAGCAGGGTAAAAACATGTGGGCGACGGCCTTGCAAGAAAGGCGCGCGTTCAATAGCCACGGCATTATTTTTCCCCACATGACATCAACCATGGTTTTCACTTAGTTTCACAGACCCCTCCACGCATGTCATGTGTAGACTAGTCCAAGCCTCACTGCAGCCCCCACCAAGATGTACCCCGCTGGTAGGCGATTGGTCTCGGCGCCAGAGAGGCCCAGTGACAGCTACCGTGAGCGCATGGTGGAAGATCGCAAGAAAGCTTTGAACACCATGCAGGTGACGGCCGAGCGCTTGACCAAGGGCTCTGCAGTCAGCAATGAAAATCCCTTGCCAAAGGCAAGGAGTAGCACCAATGCAGCTGCTTTGCAAATTTGGGCGCACTTCAACTCTTGGCAAGTGTGCAACGAATGTCGAACCATTCAACCCAGAGAGTTGACTCCACAAGGGATGGAAAAGCTGCTGAGCCCATGGTGCTCGAAGACTGCGTGCTTTCTGTGTCGCAACAAAAGCAAACCCCCGCGTGTCTTGATGCCTCCTGAACCTTTGAAAGGGTTGCCAGACGAAGTGGTGTTGGCCTTGCGGCCCGTGTTGCCCAACTTTGGTACGGAAGAGACTTCGATGGACAGATTCGGCCGTGGCAACGGGTACCGAGTGCACACTGCCATGCTGACCTTCTCGTGGCACAGCCTGTCGGTCGAAGACCGCATTCGAAGCCTGCCCAGAGAACGAGCTTCTCTCGCAAGCAAAGCTTTTGATTGGCTCTTGGAGAACACTGGTCCTGCGACAACTCAGACCGCCTATGGGGAATTCTGGTCCGCGCGCCAGCAATTTTTACTTGCGCACCCCGCGGCCGACGTCCGCCAGCGAAAGCGCTGGCTGAGGTTCATCGAAGCTGAAGGCCTGGAGTGCTGCCTGTGGCCGCAGTTGTTTCATCGCAGAGACCAATGCTTGACGTGGGCCAGGCAGCAATCCACCAGCAGGCAAAGCCGCGGCAGTCTGCAGACCACATTGGAGCAGCGAGCCCACGCGGTAGTCGGCGACCAGGACATGCCGGAGGACGTGACGGGCACAAAGCGGTCTTACATGGCCCTCGTCCTGTCGTCGCTCTTGGATTACGCCATGTCCTACGAGCTCTTGCATTTCTGCTTTGACCTCAATTTATGGTCAAGTGTGGGATCCAAGAAAAACTTGCACCTGGGCGTCCCTCTGCGCATGCTGCTACAGGGCGAGAGTTTTACGTCGGAGTATTGGCGGGGCCTGCACAGAACGCTCGTGGACCTTGTCCGCCAAAAGGGATTCCCTCCGATCTTTGCGACGCACAGTCCATACGAATGGTGCACACCCAACCACGTCTTCATCGAAGACGCCATGCGCAAAGCGCGTCGAGGCGAGCAAACGGCAGAAATCCCCGGGCTTCGGTGTTGCGTTCCCAAGTTGTCTTTTCACAGGTAGGACCCGGTTGGCGTTGAATTTTCCTAGGTTCAGGTCGTCAGGTCATTGTGAGGCAAGTCACTATGTTTTGCAACGTGTGCAGCTTTCTGTTGCGCAGGCCGCTTGGAATTCCCGATTGGGGAAGCTTTGCATCAGGTGCACCTGCTGACGCAGCTGGGCATGAACTTCCTGACGGGCAAGAACTGCGCCAAAGAGCGGGCAAAGGCTGGACATCGACACCAACTGCTCCAGACGACCCGAGAGGACGGGACCCAGGTGCCACTGATGTCGTTCTTCCGCCTGGAATTCCAAGATGGAAAACGGCGCCTGGCAAGCCAGAGCTACCATGGTTCAGGCAGAGCCCACGCTCACCAGCTATGGTTCGTGAGCCGTCTACGGCGTGGCGAAGACATGCAGGCCTTGCAGCTGCAAGACACAGTCAGCGCCACGTTGGAGCAGGAGGACGACCACTTGCGAGGCTACGCCCTGGCCACGCAGACGGACCGCAAAGCACAGACGCCCTGGCGGGTCCATGACGGAGCAAGCCGGTTCAACCCGGAGTCCCAGGAGTATGAGTTGCACCACACAGCCGAAGACCACGCCAGGGGCGTGCGTGCATTTTTCGTGCCTTTGTTGGAGGCAACCAAATACCACCAAGACGTACAGCTGGATTTTGTGGGGCAAAAGAACTATGTTGCCTACAGCGCAAAATACACCACAAAGTTCTCAGACTCACTGTATGAGGAGCTGTTGAACGACGATGCAGACGCCAACAGCATCGCAGCCTCCATTCTTTCCCGCTACCATCCATGTGTTCCTGAGATGCTCTTGCAACTTTTTGGAACCATGTTTCAACAGTGGAAAGTGACCACATGGAGCCATGGCCGCAAGGCGTTTCGACCTCCGGTGCCTGACGATCCCAGCTTGCCCCCAGAAGTGGATCTCTACACAGCATCGGCTTGGCGCAGGGACGACATGTGTCTGCTGGAGTTTTTGCGCAAGACGAACGACCAGGGCGGAGTCTCTGGTTGGGTGGTGGAAGCGTGGAAAACCGCGAAATCGCCACTGTCCCTTGAAGCTTTTGCCAACGCATGCCCGATGGAAGGCCGAGCAGTGCAAAGCCAAAAGTGTATAACAAATAGTGCTTGCAGCAACCTTTTTTTTCTCTTGGGTCTAACAATAACCATGTGGCTAACACGGTGTCTTCTTCAAGGGTATACCTGCATGAACATCCCCAGAAACGGTCTTTGCTTTGTTGATCATTCATCGTTTTTCTCGCTTGCTGCAGGGGAAAAACTGGTCGCCTGCAACATGGGGTCCCGCCTGCGAGATCGCTTCTACGGGCAATGGTTGGTGCTGAACGTGCCGTTTCGGAACCTGCAGGAGTTCGAAGTGGAGAACTTGCTGGAGCGGGTGCCTGTCACGGACAAGTACCTGGCCATGCGCCTCGCCTGCGAGCATCCCGTCGCACAGAGCCTTTGGACGGACTTTGCCGCCGTAGACGAGGACATGAAGATGGAAGGCCACGGGCTGCTACATAGACACATGGTCTTGGGCTACGTGAAGACACAGGGCCACCTCGTTCGGCAATATTTGGCCGGCACGCTGGACCCGCCAGCAGCACCAGCTGAGCGCACGGAGGTCGTGCAGCCTCGTAGCTTCCATTTCCCCATTCAGAAACAGTATGCCAAACAAATTGCCAGCGGCGCCAAAACCGTGGAGGGACGTTTGCACAAAGGTCAGGCTGCAGAGGTGCAAGTTGCCGACGTTCTCGTTTTTGGTGACCTTCGCATGCAAGTGGCGCATAGACAGCTTTTCGACAGCTTCGAGGATATGCTCGGGGCCGTGGGCTATGAGAACGCGATGCCAGAGGCAGAGTCTTTCGAGGAGGCCTTGGAAACCTACTGGCGTTTTCCGGGCTACCGCCGGGGTGAAGCTGAGCATGGCGTGGTGGCATTTTGGCTGGAAGCGGCTGCGCCGAACTTGGCGGAGCACTCCAAGCAATGGAACGAGCAACAGATTCGCTGGAAAACGCTCATGCTAGAAGACCTGCGCAGGGCCACCACGGCCCTAGCGGCCGCAACTGAAGGAGACTTGGATGCTGCCCGTGAAGAGTGCTGGCACGCCAATAAAATTCGTGTCTTGGAAGGTCCGCCTGGAACCGGCAAAACCACTGTCGCCAAGGCCTTGGTGCGAGAAGCCGTACAACAAGGCACCAAAGTGCTCTGGACCGTCTTCACGGCACAGTTGGCCGCCCGCATGCGAGCAGAGCTCCCCAGCGACGTCGACGTGAACACGTGTCACGGCGCCCTGGGGTTGGACCTCGACGTGTTAGACTGCAAGTGGAACCTAGCCCCCTACGGGCTCGTGATCATCGACGAGTTCAACCAGCTTCGCAAAGAAGACCTGGCTCACATCGACATGTTGCGGGAGGCGGTGGACAACGGCATCGCGATAGGTTTTATTGGGAGACCGCTGCCAAATGGCTGGCTTCGGAGCCGAGCGCATATGGCATTCGCATCTTTGGCGGAAAGCAGTGCACTTGACTGAACTGCATCAGCTCTACAGGTGCAAGGACTCATCTTTTTGTGTTGTTTCAAACTGGCGGCAGTACTTAGCTCGGCACTAGGGGCGCGCACGACGCCTGCCCCGCTCGACCAACATGTGTTTTTTCATGTGTGGGAAGACGACCTACTTTTTTAGCGCGAACGAGTCCAGCTTAGTCGACAGGACCCCGAGTTCGCGAAGGTATTGAAAGTGCTGAGAACATCAAAGCCTACGGCCACAGGCAGTGCTGGCACACTGACCGTGCCGGCCATCATGCGGCAGCGGCGAGCCTGGAGGGGCCACACTCCGCAGTGCAGGGACGTTGACCGCTTGCTGAGGAAGTACCCAGAGACCACCATGATGGCCATTTCTCGACAAGGTGTGCACACCCTCAATCTCTTGGCCGTCGAAGCCTTATTCGGCCACGCGGGAGAGCCTTTGGTGACTTTAGATGGAGACATGGAGAGCAACTCAGAGAACTACCTGGAGGACGGAAGCATGAAGGCACCGCAGGATTGCCAGCCGCTGCGCATTCCTTGTTTCGAAGGTATGAAGCTGTTTTTGACCAAAAATGTTGATAAAGACAGAGACTACGTGAATGGCATGCGTGCCACGGTCGAATCCTTTCATCGAGCAAGCAAGGCCCTGTATGTCATTACGGATTCGCAACACCGATTGGCCATTCGGCCATGGACAGACGTGTCTCTTGGCAACAGGACTTATTGTCCCATTCGGTTCGGTTACGCCAGCACCGTGATCAAAATGGCAGGGGCGGAACTTCCCCACGCAATTCTGTGGCTGGATCGCCCGCACGTCCCCGGCGCGGCATACACGGGAATGTCCCGGGTGGCCTACGGGTCCAACCTGTTGCTCGGCGGAAATTTATCGCCAGAACATTTCACCCCAGCTCGTCTGTGAAACTCGACCGCAAAGAATCAGAGAAGTGACACACAACAGAATGTTTTTTTACAATGCAGACTGCAGAAGTGCAGCATCCTGCTGGACACTTGGCACCTGTGCCTGTTTTTGTTTGGCTCATAGCTGATCCGGCGCCGCCTGTCAGAGGCTGAGCGGCAAGCACCTGGAAGCTGGAAGTCGCAACCCCGCTGCCCAGGCCGAACCCTGGACATCGTCACCGGCGAGTTCGTGGCGGACGTCTTCTTCATCGACCAGGCGGGTTAACCCACCGAAGCCTGGTCCCAAGTCCAGGGACTCCACCGGTCACGGCCAGTGGAGGAAGTGGGAGGGGCCCGTGTCTAGACCCGGCAAAGGTTTACAGGTTTTCTTGAAAGTTGACGTTTGCACCTTGAAATCTGGAGTTTCCAGGTTTGGAACCTTGAAACCTGGAGTTTCCAGGTCTCTGAAACCTTGAAACCTGTAATTTTCAGGCTTGGAACCTTGAAACCTGGAGTCTCCAGGTTTGGAACCTTGAAACCTGGAGTTTCCAGGTTTGGAACCTTGAAACCTGGAGTCTCCAGGTTTGGAACCTTGAAACCTGGAACTTCCAGGTTTGGAAACCTTGAGTTTCCAGGTTTGGAACCTTGAAACCTGGAGCTTCCAGGCTTGAAACCTTGAGTTTTCAGGTTTGGAACCTTGAAACCTGGAGTTTCCAGGGTTGGAACCTTGAAGCCTGGAGTCTCCAGGTTTGGAACCTTGAAAACTGGAGTTTCCAGGTTT